CAAAAAAAAAAAAAGGAAGCCAAACCCTACCAGAAGGAGGCCATCACTATCTGTTCTAAATCGGTCAAAATTTGGTTGCCTTAGGTAAATTCATTTTTTTCTGACACAAAGCTGTGTGATCAATGGTATGATTTGTATAAATCAACAGTCATTCAGTAGCAAGGAGTCTCTCTCTCTCTCTCTGTCTCTCTCTGTCTCTCTCTGTCTCTCTCTCTCTCTCTCACTCACACACACACACACACACATGCACATACACACAAGTGTGCACATCAAAGCATTTGACAAACAATCAGAAAAAATCATTCTAACATAGTCTGAACAATCAGTTTTACATTGATTTGCAAAGTCTCTCCATACTCCACAGTGAAATCTGAACAAAAATACAAGTAGTTCATTCATACAGAGGATGTCCGAATCTAACAGTGTATCCACTTAATTAGGTCAAACACTTTTCTAGGAATTAAAAATGTAGTTTCTCTCTTATTAACTTCCAGAATTGAGACCAAAAAAATGTGTTTGATCTAACAAGGCAGATACACTGTTAGGGTCGGGTACCAATGATAAGCAAATAAAAAAACAGATTCGATTCACATCAAAGGGATGCAGCATTTGGCCACAAACACACCGTCCAAAAGTTGTCACAACTATTTCCCACCACATGCACACGCATACACACACACACATACTTGACATACATGCATGCACACAGATAATGAGATATACACATTTCAAACATTAGCCACAATCATTTACACACTCTCTACACACAATCATACCTGACATATTTTTAACAATCATTATGTTGTGGCTCCACACCCATTCATATACACACGCACTTTTCAAAGACTGTTATAACAATTACCCTTTGATTCCACACACACATTCACATACAATTCTCAAAAATTTACAGTGTATTACAACTCCCCCCCCCCCCTAATTAAAAATATATGTGAACATATGCATGAACACACACACACACAATAACTTGCAAATGGAAATTAGTGTGATTCTCAAACAGTCTCAGTTTCCTCCAATGGAGAATCAATAAAGTACATCTCAGTAAATGTAGCAAAAAGGTAGCTGCCGGCAAATTAATAAATAATCACAAGGCCTAACAGTCACACGCAGCCTTCACACCTTATTACGTAAACAGAATCAGTTCTGATATTACATGTTTGTTGATTTTGCTTTTTTTTTCTCTCTCTCTCTCCCTCCCTCTCTCCCTCCCTCCCTCCCTTTCTCTCTCTCTCTCTCCCTCTCCCTCTCTCTCCCCTGGTGCAGTGGCATCATAAACGGTCATGATTTTGGTCTGGAAACGTATGGGATTTTGTGCCTCCATCCCTTTCCATTAAGAGGAAATCTTCTTCATCTGTAATGTTATTTTATAAAGCTAAAGCACACTATTGCAAAAGAAAGGTTGGGGGTGGAAGGGGGGGGGGGGAGGAAGAGAAGGGTCCCATACACAGAAAAACATAATGAAAACCTGCTAGAAGCTTAACAATGACAGAAAAAATTGCACAGTGAAAATTTGCTAGAATGTAATATTAACTGAAATACAGTTTAACACAGACAGGTCGAACATAGAAGACTTGAAATCGCGCACCCATCGAACTGTGCTGCTTGCCCTTTTTTTTTTTTCTTTCTTTTTTTTATCTCTACTTTATAAGATATCCCTCGAACTACCGAGGCCAGTCCCGAAAAATTCAAGCTATCCGTGTTAAACTGTTTTCAAATTTGTAATTATATCGGAACACTGCACAACGTCATTTTACTTCAAGACCTCTCTGGTGTAGAGAAGATGTCTATCACCGGGTGTCAACTTCAGCATCTATTAAGCTGTATTTTTTTGCAAATCCCCTGACAGAAGGTTCTGTATAGATCCCAAAATTTTTTTTTCAATATGACCCTCACCCTCGAAGGCCAAACTTTAGTTTTAGTCTTAGCAAGTGTTTAACAGCACTAGCAACATTATTAGACCATATAAGTGCCGCAGATTAGAGAGCAATAAATACAGAAGAGAAAGACAATAGATATTTGCTAAAACAGAAGAGGCAGACCATACTAGAGCAGAGTCAAACAACCACAAGCCAAACTTTCGGGACCTGCCTTTGAAATGATCTCTTTGTGCAGTAGGGCATACAATAATACAAGAATATGTATTATACAAAAGAACACTCATACTAAATTTTTGTGATGGTAAGGCTCAATAACTTCTTTCCAACAGGCAACACAAAGGATAAACTTTTATGTTGCTAAGGCTCGAATTACCCTTTCACCAGGCAACTAAAACAAAGGATTTAAATAATCTCTTTAAAAAACTAACACTGTAAGTGCAAACTACATCCAAACACACACACACACACACACATCTCTATGGAGGTAATTATTGAATGCATACTTAATCGAAGTAGACTAATACACACATACGTTACTGCGAGGTAGTTACACTATTGAGTACAAAACTATACAAAAAAACATGCACATTGTAAACTAATGTAACGTTAAGGTCGTTACAGAATTGAGTTTAATCTAAATTAAAGCTCACATACACACACACTCATAAACAAGCACACACTCATACACTATGTAACTGTGAGGTAGCTACAGCACTGAGTGTAAATGAAATGAAAGCACATGCAACACACAAACATATCCACACACACAAGCTGATCAATGACCCAAAGTAATAGAGAAGCTAAAAAAAAAAAAATTAACTAAAAATTGACACAGCTTGAGGTAGTTATAGTTAAAATCAAAAGAAAATAAATAGTACAAATCAAGCGAAGGGATCACTTTTTCTCATCGAGTAAAGAGAAGCTTACCAACAAAAGACCAATCTAAAAGTCGCGGCCTCGGTGCTTTCTTGTCGTATTTCCATTTTCAAAAATAGTATTAACAGTGTAAACAGTTCACAAGAAAGAGTGAGCTTAAGAAAAAGTCACACTTTCAATGTTCGCAAAAATGGAGACACGACAAGACACAGCACTGGGTTCACAAAGTGCTACGAAAAAGTTCCATCAAAAGACAAAAAAATGATACAGGGAGAGTCAAAAAAGAAAGATCTATCAGAGACACTCACCAACCACTCACTGGGAAGTAGGGTCAACTACTACAGTTTGAGAAATAAGGCGCACATTGCCACAATGTCGACCTATTAGTAGAGCGAGGAAGGAGCAAGACAGACAGACAGACAGAGAGAAGAAAGAGGGAGTGTAAAGAGTGACTATCAGTAGCAGCCTCCAACTGCTCACTAGGTAGAAAAGAGCTAGACAGAGAGACATAAAAGACAGAGGGAGAGTAAAGAGGGACTTTTAGTTTTAGTTTTAGTAGAGGTTTTACGGTACTCGCAACTGCATAAGGTCATATGAGCACCAGAAGATTAGAGGTGTTACAAGAGAGTAACAAACATAAAAAAGAAGAAGGGGAGATAAGGACGATAGATGTTTGACAGGAAAGAAGAAGCAAGCCACACCAGAGCACCCGCCAACCACCCACAAAGAGGGACTATCAGTGGCACCTCCAAAAAATATCTCAAGATACAACAGTACTTACTGAAAAATAAGTATATAAAGTACACCACAAGGCATGCATGGCATCAAAATAGTAAAATATTAAAAGCCAGAAGTAGATAAGTTCAATGTGAACTGTGAAGAAAAAATCGGTCCCCATTATAAATGAGACTCAGTGAAGAAGAATATCAGGGTGGGTTGTTTGTTGGGGTTTTTTTTGCTTCTCTTCTCCTGAAAAATTGCTCTCTCGGTCATAATATATTCACTCATGTTTTGTTCCGCATTACTAGAGGGGCTGCCCATCATTATAACAAAAATTGGTGAACTCATTACAAATTTCTGAAATATGATATTTTGGGCCCCAAATCTTGCCCTAAACAGAAAAATACACACGAAAACGCATCTCTCTCTTGCCCTTTTTAACTCCCAGTGGAGCACAGGCCATCAACGTCATTACTCCAGCGAAGCCTGTCCTGAGCATCCTTTTCTAGCTGTTTCCATGATGTCCCCGCTTTTTCAATTTCCGCTTGTACCGCTCGCCTCCATGTCATCTTTGGTCTTCCCTTCTTACGCTTTCCTCGTGGGTTCCCATGAAAACGCATACTCATGAATATCTGCATGATTGCACTGTAATCAGTATACCTTAACCTACAATTTTCAAATCATCTTTTTCTCTCCACACCAACACACACATACAGTGCTGCCGTAAGCTGACAAAACGACATTTTTTTTCTCTTCATTTTGGCACAAAAAGTTTTTATTTGCTAAATCGAAACCCTTATCAGTTACCTTACTTGTGTGAAAAAATCAAAGTGAAACTGCGACTAGTTTTTGAATAAATTATCATTCAAATTTCGGAATAATTTTAATTTTCAAATGATTACGCTGACAATAAAAACCCTCTTTTTCTCGAAGCAGCCATGAAGAAATAAAGTTAAAGAAGTTTTGCCAGCTTGCCGGCAGAATTGTAATTGTGCCTGAGCTAGAGCTGCCAGAATTTTCTCATCTTTCCTTAATATACACAAACACACAGAGCAGTAAAAGTATCTGCTCTAAAGCTGCCAATATTTTTCTTTCCTTTTTCTCTCTCTCTCTCTCTCTCTCACACACAGACAACACGCAAACACACACACACACATATACCATGTTCAAAGTGTCTGCTCTAGAACAGGTAACAGCTTTCATATTTGTCTCTCGTCCTCTCTCATACACACGCACAGACACACACACACAGTGATCAGAGTGCTTGCTCTTCAGCTGCCAATATTTTTCCTTCCCCCCTCTGCCCCCCCCCACCCCTTCACAACTCACTCACACACCTACACACATATAAGCACACCCATACACACACACACACACGCACATACACACACACACACACACACACACACACACACACACACACACACACACACACACACACACACACACACACACATAGGCACACACACACACACACACACACACACACACACACACACACACACACACACACACACACACACACACACACACACACACACACACACACACACAGTGGTCAGTGTGTCTGCTCCAAAACTGTCAGCACTTTCCTGGCTTCCCTCACACCACTGAGATAGGCTCCGGCGACCGTCTGAGGGAACTGGTGGTGTGTAGCCTGCGGAGGAGACAACACACCATGTGTATGAGAGAGGACGAGAGAAAAATATGAGACAACACACCATGGGTCTGATAAAGCATAGGAAGAGTTTTAGTAAGAGTTTTACTGCACTTGCAACATGATTAGGTCATATAAGTTCTGAAGATGAGATGAATTGCCACGGAAACATGTACAAAGAAAAGAAGGAGGAGAGATAAGGATGATAGATGTTTGATACGAAAGAAAGAGCAAACAACAATGGAGCATCCGCCAACCACCAAGACAGAATGAGTCCAATACAACATAGGATGAGTTTTAGTAAGAGTTTTACAGCACTTGTTTAGTTTAGTTATAGTAAGAGCTTTATGCCACTTGCAATACAATAAGGTCATATAAGTGCCGAAGATTAGAGGTGTTACAAGAGAGTAACAAATACAAAAAAAGGAGGGGAGATAAAAACGATAGATGTTAGTTAGGAAAGAAGAAGAAAACCACACCAGAGAACCCGCCAACCACTCACTTGCAAGGCAATTAGGTCATATAAGTAAAGAAGATTAGAGGTGTTACTAGATGGTAATGCGCAACGAGAAAAAGGAGGTGAGTTAAAGACTATTGATGCTTGATAGGAAAGAAAGGAGCAAACCACACCAGAGCACCTGCCAACCACCCACGAGCCCAGTACAACACAGGACAAGTTCAGTAAGTGTTTTATGGCACTTGCAACACAATTAGGCCCTATAAGTGCCAAAACATTAGAGATGTTGCTAGAGAGTAACATACAAAGTGAAAAAAAAAAAGTACCCTAAAAATGTGACAACTCCACAAATGAATAAAAGCATTGGGGCGGACCAAAACAACAAACTCGAAAACCAACTACAAAGCCTGCAGTACCACAGGTACGCAGCAAGGTTTTTATTCTAATTTTTTAGTAAGAGTTCTATGGCACCTGCAACACAATAAGGTCGTATAAGTGCCGAAGATTAAAGGTGTTACAAGAGAGCAACATACACAAAAAAAAGAAGGATGGGAGAAGAGGACGATAGACGTTTGACAGAAAAGAAGGAGCAAACCACACCACAGCACACTCACCAATAGCCCACACACAGTAAGGAAATCACTCAATCAGTATCAGAGCGCTAGTACTACTCACCTCTCCGGCAAAGAACAGACGCGAGTCCACTTCCTCGGCAAGGTTTGAGTGTGCATTCTTTGGTGCTCCTACCGGGAGATAACTGTAAGCCATGCCGATGTGAGGGTCACGACCCCAGTGGGTCATATGGTACCAAGATGGGTCAGGAATATCCTGGTGAGAAACAGAAACATATATAGGAGAGTGACATTAATATCCAAGGCGGCATCATTTCTCTGAGATTTCCTTACAGGCATTAAAAATGAGCAGCCTCCCCTTTTCTGTCCTTCCTAAAGGAATGGTGAATTTCTTGATATTTTCATTTAACTCATTTGAGCCTGAGCTATTTTTCACCCAACAACCATTGCAGCCAGACAGTTTCCAGGTATATTGAATGATTGACCACAAAAAGACTGTGAAAGCTATCATAGTTTTTAAAATGCAAGAAAATAAAGAAAGAAATGCTCTCACAGAAAAAGAAAACTGGATCTAAAGAGTCTGAATAGCTTTTATTTTATCAATATTTTGAAATGGCAATGTCTGCGGATTACGCAAATTTTTTTTTTCGCCCAATTTATCATAAAATCTTCTTCTGTCGCAATGAGGGGGTGACTGACTTAGTCCATTACAGCTTATAAAAAATAGTACATAACTTCACCAAATTTTTAACAAAATGAAACAAGTGGGTCAACTGTTGGCTCACCGATTCCCGTAGCTTGCAACCGAAAAACACCAGAGATATCAATTGATAAATACATGGGATTAGGCTCAAGTGGATCAAACTCATTTCCCATTTTAGGAGAGGGAGAAGAAGAGGGAAGCAGAGGTAGAGAGAGAGAGAGAGAGAGAAAGAGAGAGAGAGAGAGAGAAAGAGAGAGAGACAGAGACAGAGAGAGACAGGGAAGGAGAGAGAGAGAGAGACAGAGACAGAGGGAGGGGGAGAGAGAGAGACAGAGACAGAGGGAGGGGGAGAGAGAGAAAGAGAGCGATAGAAAGAGAGAGGGAGGGCACACAACATTAATAATGCCAGCAAAATCAGCAACACATACTAAGATTGGACTACTCGAAGAAGCCCAGCCAGCTAACTCACCTTTTCTGGAAACATCTCCCGTAACAGACATACACATTTCGTGACAACTTCCTGGTCTGACTGGTCGTGCATGAGTGAAAGCCCTTGACCAACGAGGTAGGTGACTAAGGTGTGCTTGCTCGATGTAGAAGCATTCTGTACAGACAGGCGCAACAACTGTTATTGTGTGACAACATTACAACTTACAATTTTAGTTCAATTTTAGCATCAGTTTTATGGTACTTGCAACACAAATAGATTCTATAAGTACCAACCAAAGAGTAGAGGTATTTCCAGAGAGTAACATAGAGAAAAGAAGGAGGAGAGACAAGGATGACAGATGTTTGATAAGAAAGAAGTTACAAATCACACCAGAGCACTTGACAACCACTCACCTTTTGATTTTAGTAATGAACCCCCCCCCTCCTCCCCCCAAAAAAACAAAACAAAACAAAACCCAGACAACTGTGTGACAACCTATGACATTTAACAACTAAAATAGCAAGAGATCAGCTTCAATATATATAGCATCTATTGCTGGTAGCAGATCTGTTACGGAATGATATAAATAACAATGACTTCACAAGAATCTCTCTCTACGTGTACAATTAAAATTGTCCAAGTTGACCACCCATTGTTGAGGAGAAAAGTAGCTGTCTTTGACAGCTTAAGCCTGCTCTGACTGAGACCAGTTCATGACAGTCACCTGTATAAATATGAGGCATCAGGGTGAAATCCGGCCCTCGTCAAAATAACAAAATCTAAGATATCGGCATTTTCTCTCCAGTTTGACCATTTTTCTTCTACCCTTTGTTTTTTAGCTCAACACCCTTTAAGTCCATTTAAAAACATATTTCTGTGTCCATTTTACTGAAACACATTGATTCAAGGCATAACAAATATAAATTTTCAGTTTCCAAGGACTCTCAAGCTTTTTAAATCACCAAACTTTGGCGGACATTTTCTCGCTAATTTTACCTCTGAAACAAAGCGATCCTGGCCTCCTTCGATAGCAAATATCTCGACTTCTATTCAAGACAGTATAGGCGTGCATTTTTTCATTCAAAAGATGGCCAAAAGAACAAGCTTTAAGATGATACCAATAAACTCTAGATGCCCAAAAATTGATGAGTACCTGATTCTACCGCGTCATGACACAAATGACTATTCTGACGTGCCAAGTCAGAGGGACGTATCTGCACATTTTATGATTTTGAGTTACGTCGCGCTGCCATTGGAAATATGGGCATGGCCTTTCAGTTACGTCTGTTTGCCATGGTGAAATCTCCTATTTGTAGTGAAGACATGTCTTCCTGCCTTTGACACAAGACACAGAATGGGTATAGGCGTCCATTTAAACGAAGATGCAAACATTAATAGTTTTTGCAGATACGTCGGTCTCCCTTGGCGCAGCGGTATTTTCCACTTCACTATTTGACTTATTTCTTTATTTAATATCATGGACATCCACATCCACCTTAAGACAACCACCATTCTCCTCGACGAAAGGGGGCTATTTAAGAGAATTTTGACAGTACCAACACAACTCAACTGACCTGAGGCTTTGAGACATCGTGGAAAATGCTGAACAAGCCTCGCTGTGGGGTCGGGCCAGGCACATGACCAAACATTGTCTTGCCCTTTATCTTCTCTGACCAGAAGTTCTGATCAAACTGTAGAATCAGCTGGAAGGGGGCAGACAAAAGAAACCAGTATTAAAAACTTTTACTCAAGTTTAATCCACAGTTTAAAGAAAGGAGACTAAAATTGTAACACTGAGCATCTGTAGCAAACTGACCCATAAAATTTAACTTGGAAATAAATAACACCTGTCTTGACAGCCTTTCACAACTACCTTTGGCTATGTGTACACCCCCCCTGAGTGTTTTGTATCTAGATGACCGCTGCCATTCATGTTAGACTCATAATGTAGTAGTAGTATAGGGTTTTACGGCGCTCGCAACTGCATAAGGTTATATGAGCGCGCAAAGCACAAGTTGTTTGCATTCGCAACAGTTCACTGCACGGTTGGTTAGCTTTTAGACTTTAAAAATATAAACATATTTTCAATTTAAAACAACT